CAGACTGTTTTATGCTATTATCCCAAGTGCCAATATAGAATGACTGGTAAAATATTTTTAGAGACTATACAAAAGTTGGTGTGGAAGGGTTCTATTGATTTTGCTCTTAAATTATATATAATTTCACTGCCTCTATCATTGCAGAGAGAAAAAAATGGAGCCACTGTATTTGTTGTCCTGAATGACCTCTTTCTGACTTTCAGTGGCTTGAATGGCTTGAAGGAAAGAGAAATAAAACTTACTATAAGGCAGCCAAAGCAATTAGGCAAGAAAAAGTAATAAAAAGCATCCAGATCAGAAAGGAAGACGTAAACCTGTCACTGTTTGCAGATGACATATTATATATAGAAAACCCTAAAGACTCCACAAATTAACTTCTGTTGAGGAGAGAGGGAAGAACAAGGACAGGTTTGATAGGAAAAGCCTCAAACTGCAGTATAGCTCTAATTTGTTAGAACCAAAAACAAATTCAGTAAAGTTATAAGATACAAAATCAGTACACAAAAATCAGTTGTGTTTTCATACACTAATGACTAGCTATCAGAAAAGAAAGAAAACTCATATACAATTGCATCAAAAAGAATAAAATACCTAGGAATAAATTTAACCAAGGAGGTGAAAGATTTGTATATTGAAAACTATAAGACATTAGTGAGATAAATTTAAGACAACACAAATAAATGGACAGCTCTTTCATGTTCATGGATTGGAAGAATTGGTATTGTTAAAATGTCCATACTATCCAAAGCTATCTACAGATTCAGTGTAATCCCTATCAAAATTTTAGTAGCATTTTTCAAGGAAAAAGAACCAATAACCCTAAAATTTGTGTGGAGCTACAAAAACCCTGAATAGCCTAATAATCTTGAGAATGAAGAACAAAGCTGGAGGCATCACAACTCTCTAATTTCAAATTATATTACAAAGCTATAGTACTTACAACAATATAGTATTGGCATAAAAAACAGACACATAAGTCAGTGGAACAGAACAGAGAGTCCAGAAATAACCCATAGATATTTGGTCAATTAATTTACAACAAACGGAGGAAATAAATACAACGGGGGAAAGGACAGTCTCAGTAAATGGTATTGGGAAAACTAGACAATCACATTGAAAACAGTGAAACTGGATCTCTGCTTTCCACCATACACAAGTGGATTAAACTCAAAATGGATTAAATACTTGAATGGAAGAACTGAAACTATAAAACTCCTGGAAGAAAACAAAGGTATTAAGTTCCTTGATACAGATTTTTGGCAATGAATTTTTAAATCTGACATCAAAAGCAAAAATAAGTAAGACTATCTCATGCTAAAAAAGTTTCTGTACAGCAAAGGAAACTATCAACAAAATGAAAAGGCAACCTACTGAATGGGAGAAAATATTTGCAAGTCATATATCTGATAATAGGCCAATATCCAGACTATGTAAGAAACTTAACAACTCAATAGCAAAAAAACAAAAACAATACAAGTAAAAAATGGGCAAAGGATCTGAATAGACATTTTTCCAACAACGACCTATAAATACACAACAGGTATATGAAAAGATGCTCAATATCATCAATCATCAGGCAAATGCAAATTAAAACTACAAGATAATACCTCTAACATGTTGTAATGGCTATGATTTTTTTTTAAAGTGTTGGTGAGGATATGGAAGAAAGGGAACCCTGTGCACTGTAAGAATGTGGATTGGTGCTGCCACTATAGTAGACAATATGGAGGTTTCTCAGAAAATTAAAAATAGAACTACAATATGATCCAGCAGTTCCACTTTTAGGCATTTATTCAAAGAAAACAAAAACACTAATTTGAAAAGATCAGTGCACCCTGTCTCCGTGTTCATTGCAGGATTATTTATAATAGCCAAGATATGGAAATAGCCTAGGTGTTCATCAGTGGATGAATGGATAAAGAAAGTGTGGTATGTGCACAATGGAATATTATTCAGCCATAAAAAAGAATGAAATTTTGCTATTTGTGACAACATAAACGGATGATGGTGGCATTATGCTAAGTGAAATAAGTCAAAGAAATACATATAGCATATGATCCCTCACATATAGGATCTAAACAACAGTAACAACAACTACAAACTTATAGAAAAAGAGAACAGATTGATTTGTGGTGGTTGTCAGAGGTGGATTGTAGGGGTGGAAAAAAATGGGTGGTGAAAGGGTCAAGTAAAAAGAAAACATAAGCATATGTGCTTTTTAAGTTTTCTCACTTTTTTTTGACATTACGACTTAGTGTTTATACCTTTCCAAATTCCTATGTATCTGTGGTAAATTACAAATAAATGTTTAACATCAGGAGTTAGATTTACCCTTTTGACTAGTTTCACTACAGTTTTTTAATATTTTTGTGGCTAGTCAGTTGCTTGATTCTTTTTTTATATGTTTATTGAGAAATAATACCTGTATCACAAATTTTATACTCTACAATTTGTTGGTTGGCCTATAGTCACAGAGTTGTACAACAGATTTCACCTTATTATATTCTACAATTCATTTGGTTTTTTGTTTAGTCACAGAGTATCACTGTCATCTCATTTCAGAATATTTCCATCATCTCAAAAAGAAAACTCTATGCTTATTAATAGTCAGTCCCTTTCCTCTTTCCCCCAGGCCCTGGCAACTGTTAATCTAGTTTTTGTCTTTGTGGATTTGCCCATTCTGGACATTTCATATAAATGGAATCATAATGTTTAACCTTTTTGTATATGGCTTCTTTCACTTAGAATAAGTGAAGTTTTCAGGTTCTTTCATGTTGTACTATCTCAGTACTTCAGTCCTCCCTTATGGATAGATACTATTTCATTGATTGAATATGCAACATTTTGTTTATCCATTCATCAGTTGATGAATATTTGACTTGTTTCCATTTTTGGCTATTTTGAATGATGCTGCTCTGAACATTTGCATATACGTTTTCATGGGGACTTTTCTCCCCCAAGTTCTCTTGGGTGTATACCTAAAAATATGGTAGGTCATACGCTGATTCTGTGATTTACACTTTGAGGAAGTGCTAACCTATTTTCCAAAGCAAGTATTTGTACCATTTTATAAACCCACAAGCAGTGTATCAGCATTATCATTTCTCCACATCATTGCCAGTATTTAATGTTTTTTAAAAATTATATTCAATTTAGAAATGAAGTGGTATCTCTTTGTCTTGATTTGCATTTCTTGGTGACTAATGAGGCTGAGCATCTTTTCATGTGTTTATTGGCCACTTGCATGTGTTCTTTGGAAAAACTTCTATTGAATTCTTTTTTTCCATTAAAATTATTTTCAATTTTTTCCCATTTTTATTAATAGACCTTGGTTTCTGAGCAGTTTTAGTTTTACAGAAAAATGAGTGGAAAGTACGGTGTTCCCATATATGCTCCCCTCCTCTTCAGTTTTCCCTGTTATTAATATCAATGTAGATTTGTTACAATTGAACCAATATTAATATATTATTATTAATTATAGTCCATAGTTTGCTTTATGGTTCAATCTTTGCATTGTCTAGTCTGTGGGTTTTGACAATTGTATAGTGACATGTATCCATTATTAGTGTCATACAGGATAGTTTCACTGCCCTAAAAATTCCGAGTTCACCTGTTCATCTTCCCTCTCTGCCCCCAACCGTTGGCCATCATTGATTGTCCATAGTTTTACCTCTTCTAGAATGTCATATAGTTGGAATCATACAGTATATAGTCTTTTCTGCTTGGCTTTTTTTCACTTAACAACATGCATTTAATATATTTGCATAACTTTTTGTGGCATGATGGCTAATTTCTTTTTACCACTGAATAATATTCCATTGTATGCATGTATCATAGTTTTTTTATCCATTAACTATTGAAGAACATCTTGGTTGCTTTGAAGTTTTTGCAGTTACTAATAATGCTGCTCTAAACATTTATGTACACATATTTGTGTGGATATCAGTTTTCAGCTCATTGGGTAAATACCAGATAGCACAATTTCTAGATTGTGTGGTAAGAGTATATATTTAGTTTTCTAAGAAACTGCCAAACTATCTTTCAAATTGGGTGTTCAGAATAATTTTGTATTCCCACCTGTTGCTTCACATTGTCATCAGCCTTTGATATTGTTTTAATGTTTTGGTGTTCATCCATTTTAATAGGAGTGTAGTAGTATCTCATTGTTTTAATTTATAATTTTTAAAAATTTTTATTTTATTTTTTTAGAGAGAGAGACAGAAACATTGATGTGTGAGAGAGATTTAAATTGGTTGCCTCCTGTACATGTTCTGACCAGGAATCGTTGTTGACATTCTTTTTTTTTTTTTTTCTTTATTGATTTGAGAGAGAGAGGGAAAGAGAAATAGAAACATTGATGAGAGAGAACATTGATTGACCGCCTCTTGCATGCCCCCCATTGGGGATTGGGCCCACAACTTGGGCATGTGCCCTGCCTGGGAATCACACCAGCAACCTTTTGGTGCATGGGTCAACACTCAGTCACTGAGCCACACTGGCTGGGCTGATTTGTAATTTTTTGATGATACATGATGTTGAGCATATTTTTATATGCTTATTTGCCATCTGTATATCTTCTTTGAGGAGGTATCTGTTCTAGTCTTTTGCTCATTTTATGGTTTTCTTTTTACTGTTTTAAGAGTTCTGTGTATATTTTGGATAAATGATACTTTATTAGATAAATGTTTTGTGAAGATTTTTCTCCCATTCTGTGACTTGTCTTTTCATTAGTGACTTAGAGCAGAAGTTTTACATTTTAATGAAAAATCCAATTTACCTATTTTTTTCATTTATGGAATGTGCTTTTGGTGTTGCATCTGAAAAGTCACTGCCAAACTCAAGAACACGTATATTTTCTCCTGTTATCTTCTAGCTGTCTTACAATTTTTGCCACTTACATTTAGGTTTATAATCCATTTTGGGTTACTTTTTCATGTGCCTAGAATACTTTCTTTGTGTGTGGCTGTCCAAATTGTTCCAGCACTATTTGTTTGTTTCTTTTTAATATGGAACACTTCACAAATTTCCATGTCATCCTTAGGCAGGGGTCATGCTGATCTCTGTATCATTTCAATTTTAGTGTATGTGCTACTGAAGCAAGCACTAGCACTGTTTGTTGAAAAGGTCATCCTTTCTCCATTGCAGTGCCTTTGTTCCTTTGTCAAAGTTGTGATTATATTTGGTGGTTATTTCTGGGCTCTATTTTTGCTCCAGGGATCTATTTGGTTTTTTTCTCCAGTATCATCATATAATCTTTTATTGTAGCTTTATAGTAATTCTTAAGTCAGTTACTGTCAGTTCTTTGGCTGTTCTTCAATATTGTGTTGATTATTTTATGTCCATAAAATAACTTGCTGGGATTTCTACTGTGTTGAATCTATAGATCATGTGAGGAAGAAATAGCATCTTGACGATATTGAGTTTCCCAGTCCATGTACATAAAATATGTTTTTATTTATTTAGATCTTTGATTCTTTCCTCAGAGTTCTGTAGTTTTCCTCATGTAAATCTTGTACATATTATGTTTGATTTAAAACCAAGTATTTTACTTGGAGGGGTGCTTGTATAAATTGTATTGTTTTAAATTTCAAATTCCAGCTCTGGCTGATTGGGCTCAGCAGTTAGAGTGTCGGCCCGCAGTCCAAAGAGATCCAGGTTTGGTTCCCGCTAAGGCCACATACCTCAGTTGCAGTTTGTCCTCGGCCCTGTTGGGTTTGTGCAGGAGGTAGCCACTCAATGTGTCCCTTTCACGTCGATGTTTCTCTCTCTCTTCTGTCTTTCTCTCTCTCCCTCCCACTCTATCTGAACAAAAATGGAAGGATGTCCTCGGGTGAGGATTAAAAAAAAATTAGGGTTTTCTACATATAAGATCAACTCTTCTGTGAACAGAGATACTTTTACTAATTGTTTTCCAATTTGGATGCCTTTTATTATGTTCTTGTCTAATTGCTCTGGCTAGGGTTTCAAGTCCTATATTGAGGTAGTAGTGAAAAGAGGTGAGCATCTTTACCTTGTTCCTGATCTTAGAGGGAATGCTTTCAGTGTTTTGCCACTGACTGTGATATTAATATGGGCTTTTCATATATAACTTTGGTATTGAGGCAGTTTCCTTCTGCTCCTAGTTTGTTACCATGAAAGAATGTTGAATATTTTTAAGTGCTTTTTCTGTATCAGTTGAGATGGTCATTTGGTTTTGTTCTTCATGTTGCTGATGTGGTACATGCATTATATTGATTTATTTGGCATGTAGAGCTGTCCTTGCATTCCAGGTATAAATTCTTGCATTGGTGGCATAAAATTTGGTCATGGTGTATAATCCTTTCAAAATGTTGTTCTGTTTGATTTGCTGGTATTTTGTTGAGGGTTTTTACATCAGTATCCATTAAGGATGTTGGTCTGTAGTTTTCTTATTTATTTATTTTAATTATTTTATTTTTTTCTATTTATTATCCTCACCCAAGGACTTTTTGTTGTTGTTGTTCGGATAGAGTGTGTGTGTGTGGGGGGGGGGGGGGAGAGAGAGAGAGATCGACGTGAAAGGGACACATTGAGTGATTGCCACCCACATGACCCAACCAGGAGACCGGGGAAAAACTGCAATCGAGGTATGTGCCCTTAGCAGGAACTGAACCTGGGTCTCTCTGGACCACAGGCCTATGCTCTAACCGCTGAGCAAAACCGGCCAGGGCTCAAAACTCATATTTTTTGATACCTCTAATGGCACTTAACAACTATCATGCAGTATTATTATTCGCATATTTGAAAACTTGTCTCATTTTGAATTATTAGTGCTTTCACTACTGCGGTCCTGCTTTGTTGTAATTGTTTCCCAAGCATATAGTAATAAATGAAAGTTGATGGCATTGAGTTATATTTTATTGTAGTAGTTAAGAGCATGTGTTTAGGAATCTGATTCACCTGGGTTTATTAAATCTTGCTTCTACTCTTTGATAACAAATTCCTTAACCTCTCAATGCCTTGCCCTCTCTGTTAGTAGGGATAATAATATTGCCGACTTGATTGGTTTGTGGAGAGGACTAAATTAATTCATGAAGATAAAGCTCTTAGCACGTGCTTGGCTCTTGATTGTCAAAAATCTATAGTTGTTGGCACCATCATTGTTATGCCAATAATATACTATTATTATATTGACTTCCAAAGATACAGGGTTAAAGAAGAGTTGCATTAAATTAGAGTTGACTTACATCCTGGAGCCTCTGAAAACTAAGCATTTAAGAACTTGGTTTATATTTACTTCAGCAGTCCATAGTAGCTGACAGGAAATAAAAGTTCTTTAGCCCTGGTCCAATGGCTCAGTTGGTTGGAATGTTGATCTGTACACCAAAAGGTTGTGGGCTCAATTCCAGGCCAGGGCACATACCTAAGTCGAGGGTTCGATCCTGGTCAGGGCTTCTATGAGAGGAATCTGATCGATATTTCTCTCCCCTTTCCTCTCTCCCTCCCTCTTTTCCCCCCTCTCTCTCTCCCTCTTTTCCTCTCTCTCTAAAAGCAATAAAAACATATCCTTGGTGAGAATTTTTAAAGAAGCGGTGGGGGTTGGGAGGTGGGAGTTAAGCTGTCCAGGCATCTATTCTGTTGTTTCCCTTTTCCTTCTCCTTTCAGTGTTGGTCAGGTTGTTTGTGTGGCTAATTGGAAAAATGAACATTTGTGAATCCTGTTTATTTTTCTTTAAAATTGGGCTTTTTTTGGTAAAAAGCCTACCTGAGCAGTATGCATTTTATAACTATACTTGACAATTTAGATTTTTAATTTACATACTGTCAATTATAGTAATATAAAAGAAAAATATTATTATTAATTCCAGAACATTGATAAATCAATATATATTAGAAAGTTCACTCTGTATATAATATGTATATATGCATTAAATTTGAAAGAGATTGAATATAAGGACCTTTCTTTCCTTGGTTTCTATAGCAAGAAATAGCAAACTGTGTGTCTGTCACCTGTTTTGGTAAATAAGTTTTATTGAAACATAGCCACACTCATTCCTTTACATATTGTCCTTAATGCTTTCCCATCGTAACTGCAGAGTTGGAAAACTGCAACAGCGATTATGGTCTGCAAGACTTAAGTATTTATTATTGGGCCTTTACAGAAAATGTCTGTTAACCCCTTCTAGGGTTTGTTTGTTTGTTTGTTTGTTTGTTTGTTTTCAGAAGGGGGGAGAGGAGTGGGAGAGAATAAGAGAGGCAGAGAGGGAGGGAGAGAGAGAGAGAGAGGGAGGGAGAGTTGTTCCACTTATTTATGCATGCATTGGTTGATTCTTGTATGTGCCCAGACCAGGGATCAAACCTGGAGTGATGGCATGGTGCTCTAATCAACTGATCTACCTGGCTGGGCTTCTAGGGGATTAATTTTTCTGGCTCTTCTTTTTCAGTTCTGCTCATTCTCAGTCTCTTGTGTGATTCTTTTTCAGCTATCTGCCTAAATGTTGGTATTCTCCAGGATAAACTCCTGAATATTATACCTGTCTTAGTTAGGGGTTATGTGATACCACTGTCTAGGTTATACTACCTCACCAGGTTCTTTGTAAAGTCCTTTATAGATTTTTCTGCTGCTGGAGCATCTGACCACTTCTTTTCTTATTTTACAGCCAATTTTACCAACTCCTGTGGCTTTAAGAACCTTCCAAACCTCTCGGTAGAGGATAAGATTAACATATCAGATTGCTTTCAGGACCTTTTCACTTCTTTGTCTCCCAGTCATTTCAAATTGAATGTGTCCCATATTGAACTCAGCTCTTCCTGCTTCAAAACAGTTTCCTAGGCCTGTTGAACTCTACTGCCACGTGTGTCATATCTTTCTTCATCCTTTTACTTTTAAGCAATTTATGTCTTTGAATCTAAAGTATGCCTGCTATAGAAAGAATGTAGTTGGAGCTTTCATTCTTATCTAGTCTAATGATTTCTGCCTTTGATTCTGTGCTTAATCACATTTTGTACAGTTTTTGAAATGGTTGGAATTACTTGTTCCATGTTGCTTGTTTTGTTCTCTCTCTCTCTCTCTCTCTCTCTCTTTCTCTCATTTTTGTTCTGCTGTTCTCATTTATTGCCTTCTTTTATGTTGAACAAATCTGTTAGGTCCAGTGTTGTTTTTTAACATTAAAAACTTTGTTTTCTTAGTGGCTGCTGTAGGAATTACAGTGCATTTCAATTTATCACAGCCTACTTTAGGTTATACTGACTTAATTCCAGCAAAATATAACACCTTTTCTCTATATAACATTTTTCTCCTTTATTCTTCCTGCTATTATTGTCATATATTTCATTTATTTATGTTATAAACCTAATAATATACTGTTATCCTAATTGCTTTGTACAATTTATGTTTTTCATGAAGTTAACAGAAGGAAAGAAAAATATATATTCTTTCATGTTTTCTCATTTATATTTACCATTTCTCGTGTTCTCATTTCTCCTCATGGATCTGAATTATTTTCTGGTGTCATTTCCTTTTAGCCTGAGAGACTTGCTTTAAGTATTTCTTAAAGACAGGCCTTCTACTGTGCTTGCTTCGGCAGCACATATACTAAAATTGGAACGATGCAGAAAAGATTAGCATGGCCCCTGCGCAAGGATGACACGCAAGTTCATGAAGCTTTCCATATTAAAAAAAAAAAAAAAGACAGGCCTTCTACTATAGAATATTCTCCATCTTTTTTTAAAATTTGGGAATGTCTTTATATTTCCTTTTATATTTGAAGAATAATTTTTCTATATATAGCATTCTTGGTTGACAGGTTTTTTTTTTTTCTTTCATCACTTCGAATATTTTTTATTGCCTTTTGGCCTCAAGTAGTCTGATAATTTGTCAGCTATTAATTGTATTGTTTTTCTCATATATGTGATGAATCTTTTTTTATTGCTTTCATGGTTTTTTCTTTGTGGCTTCAGTTCAAATGTGATATACCTAGGTGTGAATCTCTGTGTGTTTATCCTTTTGGGGGTTCATTAAGCTGTATGATTCAGTAGATTAGTGTTTTTCACCAACTTTTGGAAGTTTCCGCAATTATTTTTTCAAATATTTTTTCTCTTATTTCCTCTTTTTGTCTGATACTGCCTTTATACATATGTTGGTAAA